TCACGATACCATATACATACTAGGTTTACTTGAGGGAGTAGAGTAGCTGATTTTGTGCAAATAGTGACCTCTCAGGACACTTCATGGAGGTACTGGAAACAAACGTGTGGAACATCAGAGTAGGCAGAACTGTCACCACACTGCTTGTTCTCCTTCTACTACAGAAAAACACCAGCACCCTTCCCTACAACTATCTCTAAAACATCAAAGGATGCATTTCATCCTGGAAATTAAGAACGTTGTTGGCCTGCTTCCACTCTGACTTTGTTGATCAAAATATATTACACGAAAGGAATAAAAACTGACATTTTATATTAACCACTAAGTCTATCACCTCTTCAAATCAAAAGCATTTGATAGATTCTTTAAACAATAAACAACCTGATAATTGAAGTTACTATGTGATTCCTTATCTTATCATATTTTATATGATAAAAGTATATATTATTATTATTCCCTCTTATTACATTAATTTCACGAGTTTTCATGAAGTAGACTACATTAGCATACATTAGCATATATATTATCTGTGATCTCACCATCTAAAATAGTCCCCTCTTTGAATGATCATCAGGTAATGTGTGTACGATGAATCCTGCACATCACTGATTTCTGTCCTAGTAAGTTCTGGCCTGAGCATATTAGACTCTCAAATAGGGCATGGTGTACTTTGCAAATCCTGTTATCAGTTATCTTGCCGCATGAGGGAGCAGAGCAACAAGAGGAAGGGGTACTTGATTATGGGGACATGATTATGAGGACAGACATACACACATAATGGGGCACAGGACCAGGGGGTGACTACAAAAGCAGCCCTGATATCAGCAGCAAGGTTTGAAGATAATGCCAAAAAGGCCAATAAATTGAGGTAAGATAATCCTCAGTATTAAAAGGTATGAGCCAAAGGGATGTGTAGTATATATAGACCCAGAAGGTTCAATTCTAAAGTTAGTTAAGATGTTGGATAATCCTTTGCCATATGGGAAATATTAGGGGGCAAGCTGGCAGGAGCTGGGCAGCCCTGGGCTGCTATTTTTCTAAACAAGGCTTCCATTGTAAAGAGGAACAATGCAAAGTGAGATGGTAAGAGAGAACACAGTGGGTAAATTCAAAACTCAGACTCTGCATTAAGACCTAGAGCTCATTCATGGAGTCCAGACCTGGCTGGCAGCAAAAAGGGCATAGGATGAGCAGGCCCCTGGGTGGGGTATCTGGGAAATATCATTTATCCATACCGTTCCCTGGCCTGGGTCTGCCAGCTGGGCTTGTCAGTGGTTTAGAGCTAATGACTGAAGACCAGAAACAGAGAAATGAGACAGACTGATGCATAAACTACACAAAGGTTTGGGTTCTCCCTTGATCACAGTAATGTTAGAATATAGTACAAATGTTCAGTCTCGTTCCAATGATCATAATTACGGCAAAAATCACTATGTTATAGTGAAATTATCAATACAAGGTGAAATGTTTCTCTATGTGTTTAAAACAAACAGCACACAAGGAATTAAATAAAAACTTCTTAAAGATTCAGCTCAATTAAAAAACCTCAGAATAGTCTAAAGCAGGGAGGTTACAGATACAGATGCAGAAATCCCCCTTCACAACATTCCTAGTAACGTCATCTACACTGCATATAAACCCCACTAAATGCCATCAGCACTTTCCACTTCTGACCATTTCAGTTATTTGTCTTTATTGAAGGGAAATCTGCCTCTGTGTGAGTCAGAACAGTTTGCAGGGTATTCCTTCCCTTCCTTGTGTCAAATAATAAAACATACCAGGTTACAGGTTTACCTACTACATTTTTTTAAGGTTTACCAAAGTACTGTTTTAGCAGTGAGTACTTTGTATATATGCCTTAAAAGATCTCTTAAGAAAATATTATATTTAAAATCTAAATGTAAATTAATGATGACAAAAGAATATTTGATTTTATAGATTTACCAAATCAGCTCTTTCTCCAAAGCCAGGATGATTTTAATAGAGCGTAATATTAGGCCCAGTCAGTTGCTACAGCTATATTTCTAGCAACTCAGTCTAGTTGTTTTAACATTTAACTCTGCACAGATAGGTCACATACCTGATAGGAAAGCCCATTCCCTAGTAAAAACAGCGTTATATGTGCAAAGTATGTATTTTGAAGAACAGAGTCCCTGTGTTTATATTGTGCTAAATTAACAGTCCATATGCTTTACACCAGTTTTAAACCAGTACCACGTACTTGATACAGATTTAAATATTGTCCAAGTATACAAAGTATATACTTTGACAATCAAAATGAAATATCCTTTCATCTCCTCCTCTGGCCCCAGAGCAGAGCATTTCTGTCCAGCTACTATCGTGATCACAACGTGGAACTCTCCAAGCTGCTGCACAAACTGGGGCATCCTCTGCCCGCCTGGCTGAGACAGGAGCTGCAGAAAGTGAGATAGCACTGAGAGGAAACTTCTCGAGACTCGGCCCCATTGTAACGCTCACCTCTCCCAAAGCTTCCAGAAGCTACCAAAAGGCTGTGTAAAAAATATACCTCTTCAAAGGAGAAAAAACAAAAAAAAAAAGAACAAAGTTCCTTCCATGTGCTGGCACTTGGATGATTAGAAACAAAAAAGAGAAAGTTACAAGCCTTGAGACCCAGGTCCTTTCTCTTAACCGGTGTCTGAGCCTGTGGGATTATTACAGACTACTGTGCACTCATGTGGAAATCAATAGCAACCAGTATAAATATCAAACACAGATGCAGAACTGTTCCATTTCGTAGTAATATTTACACTTTTATATATCAACTAAGATTGTGTCTCTGTAGATTTTTAGACCGCTGTTTGCCTGTACAATGTTTTCTTATTCTTTGATTCTATAAAGTGTCCTACAAAGAAGCAAAGTAAACATCACAACGTAGCATAAAACACCAAAGTGTAATACTCATCAAAAATGCTTGCCAAAATATAAATTCACTAAGTATTTAGAAAGAATTATCAATTACAATTTGTGCTAGAGCAGACTGGAAAAGTTACGTATGAGCTTTACCTGCATCCAAAAAAAAAGAAAAGATAAGTGCTATAGAAAAAAAAGTGATTTTTCATACACATAGTCTAGTGCATTCATGCAAAAGTTACTAACTTTTCTATCATAACATAATTGCTATACTGAAAGATATGTTGTGAAGCCATTGGATGAGAAATAGAAACACACTGAGTATACCAAAACAGTAAACAATAATCTAAAGTGTACTAACTAAATCCTCTAACAGGACAAATTGTAGGTGTCTAAAGATATATGATTGACAACTTATGTTCCTTTTCTCTGGGCTGCAAATCAACTCCAGTAGTCCTTACTGGTTCTATAGAAATGCTTGCATAGAATCTGAGGTGTGTATCATCTCCAGAAACAGATTGACTTACAATGTAAATAACTGTTTTTTAATGTTCCCCAGCATAAAACCTATTAAATGAATACTAAGGACAATTTCTCTAGACGATATATTGGGTTACTTATGTTAAATTATAGAAAAAGTACATTTCTTTAGATAATTCAGAATGAAAATATGTAATGTAGAGATCTATTACAAAAAACAAATTAATATATGATTTTTAATCTGATATTTGCAGTAATACAACGCAGAAAAATATAAGCAAAGCCGAATCCCATTTTTTTAGAGTATTTCATACATCATTCTTATGGAAGACAATAGGAAATAGTTAAATTTAGGGATTATCTACTAAATTAAATGGAAGAAGTACAAAGATGAACCAGGCACAGTTCTTAAAATATATTTACACTTAAATTTTTAATGATTATATGATTAATAAGACATTCAAAAAATAAAATGTCATACTTATTTTCCTGTGTTTATATTTACTTAAATTTTAAATATACTGTACACATAGGAAATTAAGTAGTAAATAAATTCCCTGCTATGATTACATAAGCCTTTGTAAAATGTTACCAAAAGTATGATTAGAAAAAAAAGATATGCCCAGAAATTTTCATTGTCACTTTAATGTGTAAAACTAAACTCTATTGATGATTCACTAACTAGAAAACAAATTTTGAGATCCTTCCACTCACTATAAATTTTTTAAATTACATTATAATTATTAGTGAAAATGTTTAAGTGTTATGAACTCAAATGACACACTGATTTTGCAACAAACAGGCTATTGGCAGAAACAATCAGTTTTTAAGACCCCTGACTGAAAAGCAAAATCAAAGTCATTTGGAAAAATATGTCAAACTCAATCTTCACGCTTATGCTGCCTGTTTTGAAGCAGCACATGTTAAATATGCTGGGAAAATGAACATGGTCTTTTGTCTCCACTAATTTAAGAAACCGTCTTAAGAGGGTCAAACATAGTGAGACTAGGCCCCAGCAGTTACATACAGTATCATGTTTTCATTTTGACAACAACATTTCTACTGATAAAAAAGGAAAAGAAAAACTGATACGCTATGTTTCAAGGATGAGATGTGCACTTAAACTTCTGGCCCAAGCTACTGGCATAATTTCATTGAGGTAAACTGAGTCAGCTACACAGTTTGCCCTTTAAGAAATGTTAAAAACACACTGGATGCTTGTGTAATGAGAGGAGAAACAAGAAGAGATCATACCACAATGTGCTCACTCATAGTACAGGTATTATGCTACCGAGAGCAGCAAACCTTTGAAAGGAATTTTGACCGCTCCATGTATCTGAGAGGCAACATCAAATTCTAGAGGACATGCGTACTTTCTACATTATATCTTCCAGCTGGTTATTATGCTCTTCTGAAAATAACATAAATACACATGAGAAAAGAATGAGAGATAATGTGATTTTCAACTAGCTTTGTATAGAGTTCCTTTTTCATTGCTTAACATATGAAACTTCCTCAGGAAGAAATGAAATGGTTATTTCAATGTTTATAGCTATAGTATCCTCGTCATTCACATTGAATGAAAATTACTGGAAACATTTTTTTCTCTGAGTTTTTTAAAATAAAAAACCTGGATATAACTCTGACGGTAGCATGGTACCTCATATGTACAACAATAAACTGTGATAAGAAAGTGAAGAGTTTGGGCCTGGTGATTTCAGGTAATAAGTGGGCATTTGATGGTTTGTGTTTGCCTGCGACAGAGCAGGAGGTGGCTATAAAACATAGATACCACTAATGCAATTTAACATCGAGAGCTGCATGGAAAACTTCCCAGTAGGAAACCAGTAAGTCTGTTTTTAATAAATAACCTTTCATAGATCTTCTTATCAATGCTAGTATTTTTTTTTAAGTTCTAATACATAAAAGAAGGTCCCAGGATCATTCATGGGACCAGAGAATAAGCAAACCACACAGCTGTTACTTAACAGACGTAAGAGCCTGAATAATTATAGCATTTCTTACTCCCAGTACTCTGCTCTGCTCCCCAAAATGGACTCTTTTCTTTAGAGCTTTAAAAGATATTAGCTAGTCTCTCTTTTATTAAAAATCTAGCAAAACAATCTCTGCAAAACAAAGTGGGGGAGGGACCAGGAGAGTTAGATATTTACCTACATTTTCCACAAACTTTCTTTTCTCTATTCCTGTTCTTTCTTTTCTAGAAATCAGATTTCCTCATGTTGCAGCCCATCCTGTCCACATGCACCAGTTGATTCCTCACAGGATTATCTCCCCCATAGTTCTCCAATCTAGAACACATCTGACTCCCAATTTTCTATCTAAATATGCCATCATATGTTCTATCGACTCCAGGGCCAACTGATGACCAGTTAATAATCCAATGCTGTCAATGTTAGTGGCTTATAATGACTTATAATATTATGCTTTCCAAAGACATCTGCAATTTCAACAAGTTATGCTTTAGCCCAAAAGCCCACTAATGAAGAGGCACTTTACACCTCAAATATTTTAGAATGAAGGGATTTCTCTGTTTTCAAATCACACTGTCTAGCTGAATTCCATTCTGCCAGAGCTGACTCTGCTTGGTCACCACCTACAACATAGACTGCTGCCTTCTTACTGCCCACCCATCTCGCCACACACACCCATCCCCAAATAGTTGGCAGTCATGGAAAGAGCAGTGAATACTTGAGGTGGATAATCCTTAAGAAATTACTTGTGTTGGCTTGAAATGTTTACGTTCTCTTCACTTACTTTATTTAAAAGCAAAGTAAATTTCACAAGGTCAAGCCATGAATTTTAGCTTTGAGGATGAAAGCTAAAGACATAGTGTGACATTGATTCCATTCCCAAGAAAATCTAGAGTCAACTTCAAGTAAGCCTCTCACCTGTGGCCAGGGGGCCTCACAGAATTTGAGGGCCACTTTTCCTCATCCAGTGCTACTATTAGTTCTTGCTATTTTTTGTCCTCAATCTGTTGTCTATATGGTTCTCTATATATTCAGTGCTCTTAGCAAAAGTAACAGAGAATTTATATACTTATTTATTAGTATATGAAATTTATTTTTAAGCTCCTCTTCTACCTTCTTCCATTAATCTTGTAACTATCTTAATCTTTGGGTTATATCTCTATATTATATATATATATATATATATAATCTCAGTATAGTCCCAAAAGTTATATATACAAAGATTAATGAATCACTGAAAATCGAACCTGCTATATTTTCATTATCTCCTCTTTAGAGAAAGAAGAATCATGAACAGTGTCAAAAAGTGTTTAAGAAAGACATTCACTTGCCAGATTCAGGTCAAATATTTTATTTGCCCAGCAATCCCTTTCACGGAAGTCAAAGCAAATTTCACAAATTAAATACTCACACCACAAAGCTTCCATGATATTGGTAAGAAGAAAGCATTTGCCCACATTTTAGCATTCAGAAAACTGAAATAAACTGAATGAAAAGTGAAACATTTCCAAAGCACACAGGAACTGTGACAAATCTTACATAAAACTGTCTACATCAAGCTGTTTCTTGGTTCTGAGGGAATAAATTAAGCACAGGAAATGCCGGCTGTCTACATTTCTGATGCCAGAATGCTCTATTTCAAATCAATAACTGAAATGGAAACCAGATCTTGCTCTTAAATATTATGCATAATTTATATAATTGGACCAGAGAAGACTGGTCTTCTTTTCCCTATTTGGTAAATAAAATTCTGCATCTGAATTTTCTTTCAGTTTCAACCACTCTAAACAGAAATGCAAGCTCAAAATGCTATATATACTCCTAGGGCTGTGGTGTATCTTTTCAGAACTTAATTTCTGTCTTTCAAAGCAAACAATACTTTAAAAAGTCCACAAAGAACATACTATCAAAAAATAGCATTTGTTTCACATACAAATGAATAAATTGACAAACTTATAAAAAGTTAAAGATTCTAATTTTTAAAATAATAAAAAGCTATGAACATGCAATATTGACAAATTCTCATTTCCACCTATGATCAACTTGATAAAACCATGTTGCTTCGATTCCCAGTTAATTACAGGGATGTCCTCAGTACAACTGGAATAGCAAAGAGGACAGATTGGACTCTGTTTTTAACTAAATAACATTGGGTAGCTCACTTTTCCTTTGGGGTCATCAATTTCCTCATCCATCAAGGGAAGAAGTCAAATGTGATCACTGTTAACTGCTTCCCCCCTTGCTTAATTTTATCATCAGTTATTGTAACAGTTGACTCTTCCTATCTCTCACACATTCTGCCACAGGGCAGGAGCCATGAATTATCTAGGAGGTAAAGCTGGAAGCAGAAACTGGGTCTGAGTAACTCAACCTCTCCTCCCGCACTTCCCTTTGGAAAACACTCTGGTCTGCTTTTGGCCCATGGTAAGTTCAGCAGAAATCTATTTAAGCACATTATTCAAAGCCACAAACATAACAAAAGGGACTAGAAACAAAAATAGAAATATAAATACATGCTCAAAAATCAGGAGTGTAAGTGAGGAACAATGGTACAAAGGAGCCAAATGTCTCCTCCTTCATGTGGGAGCCAACAGATACTGCTTAGAGATAACAAACCAAGAAATCAAGGTAAACGATGGTTGGAATAATGGGTGAATCAACACAACATGAGCAGAAATGGTAAAAGGGAGTTAGTTATCTTTGCTAGTTCAGGCTAGAGTGCAAGACCAAGAAGAAATATTTGAATTGTTATTTCCCAGTGCATGTAGCACTTCTATTACAACAGCAATAATCTATCATTTAAAGAGTAAGGCTAAATATGCAGCCCCAGTAGTATCCCATCGGATGGGAAGATCACAGAGGCGGATCTAACCAGCAGCTGACATTAGCATCAGTTGTTGGACATTATCCAGGAGATGAACTAACAGGGAAGAGCTCTCGTGGTGCTTAGCCTTACTTAGTGCTGTAGGGAAATGGTTCTAAAGATCTAGTCTGACCCCTGGCAGGCCCAAGCCCTCTTTAGGGACTCTGCAAGGTCAAAACTGTTTTCAAAATAATACCAATTTATCATATTTGTTTGTCATTGTGTTGATATTTTCATTGACCTTGCAAGAGCAATAATGGGTAAAACTGCTGGTGCTTTAACATTAATCAAGTAAGTAACATCAGTCTACATTCATCATCACTATATTCTCCACCAACACACACTCATTTACAAAGTTAGCTTCACTTAAGAATGCCCTTAATGAAGCAGTAAGAATTAGTAATACTATTAAATTTCAACCCTTGAGTATCTGTCTTTTTAATATTTTCTGCATCAAAACATGAAGTATGCCTAGGGCACCTCCACTACATACTGAAGTATATAGCTGTCTCAAAGACAAGCACCTGAGCAATTGTTTGAGTTGCAACTTTAACTAGCTACTTTATTTTTTTATTCAATTTATTTAATTTAAAAAAAAACAGCTACTGTAGTCAAAGAACATGATTTTTACTTGAAAGAATGATTGACAGGGAGATATGGTTATTCAGACGTGAGCAACTGGCAGACATTTTTTTTAAAAACTGAACAGTGAGCTTGTCACTTTAAGAAAAACAACTAATGGTACTGCCACCGATAAAATCTGAGCTTTCAATGAAAATTAGAACTTGTATCTGCTACTAGGAGCTTAATGGTAGACTATTATTTAAATACTTTCTCTGATGAGACTTATGGAGATATTAACTAAAATGATTTTCTAATAGTAAATAATGAAATGTATCAACATTTGGGAGATCTGCACAACTCAGTAAACCAGTATTTTCCAAATAACCAATGCAAGAGGTTACAAAATCATCATACATGGCACAACCATTACAATGGTATTCTTAGGGCAAGATAAACTAACAGTTTTTAATGTAGCAGAGTATGAAAAGCTCATTGATTTGGCTTCAGATTCCACAATACAAATATCCTTTAAGAAAATACTACTTGTCAAGTTTTAGTGTCGTATCAAAGAAAAATATCCACAATTATCTGAAAAGGCTATATATACTTCCCTTCCTCAAAAACATACTTGGGTAAGTCAGATTTTCTTCATATACCTCAGCAAAACCAACATATCAAAATAGACTGAATGCAAAAATATGTATCAGAATCCAGATTTCTTTTATGAAGCCAAACTTTAAAGAGATTTGCAAATACATTACACAGTGCCACTCTTTTCATTAATTTTTTTTGTTTGTTTTGGAAAACAGTTATTTTTAAACAAAACTATGATCTTATTATGGGCTTGCTCTTCTTGCTTTCAAGTTAATGGTTTTTTAGTTCCTCAATTTACATTCCTAATATAGTAAATACTGAGAGATACAACCCTTATAAACAAAACCCATTTGGCGTCCTCAAAAATTTTTTAAAATTGTAAAGGCTCCTGAGACCAAAGAGTGTGAGAACCACTAGTGGGCATAGGAATTGTAAGTAATTTAAGTACCAAAAGCCAAAACTTAAACCATAAAAAATAACCTAGAAAGAAAACAGATGAAAAGTCAGACAACACCTCCTATCACCTTCCCATTCCACTCCCAGACTGGAAGCTGCCTGGCTGGAGATGGAGGAATACTAGGGAGGGAGAAGAGAGGGGGACATGGGTATGAGTTTCTTCTCCCCTGGCCCCTCCGCCTTGTCACCAAAGCAAGTCCTAAAAATGAAAGGCTGACAGATCTTCTTTAAGACTGAGGATCCAAGAGGAGAGAAAGCTGTGTCCTACTTTCCATCTAAAAGTTAGCCAAGCAGCAACCTCATCTATGTGTTCTGCCCATCAATGGTATTGGAGCAAAATCGTAGAAACAGGACATGGTATTCTAGAGATTACACAGTGTCCACAGTGGCACAGGACAACATATAAAAATCCCCATTCTCCATGGGAGCTGTAGAAACTTCTGAGAATTTAGATCCAAAGGGACCCAGTAGCTAGGACCAAGAGGACACCTACTGACCAGCAGACTGATGCCTGCAGGGCATGGGAAGAGCCCACTTACCTAAGACTGCACTTGATGAGATTCATACTATGCCAGCAGAAAACGGATGATGTCTGAGGCCAAAGTGTCACCCTCTAACATGGTGTCCTTTGCCAAGATCACCTTGAGAAGAAAGGGAGAGATGAATCCTGAATTTGACTGGGTTTTTCTAAAACAGAATTAAAAACCCCTAAAGTGATGAAATATATCTTAAATAGAGACAGTTACCAAAAACTAAAGAAAGCTACATTTCTGCATAGGTTGTGGATCATGGAATTTATACCCATTATACAAGCATTATACCCCAGGTTCAATTAGCAACAATGGAGACGCATGGAAAAAGAGCAAATGACAAGGGTCAAGAGTATTGACAGACTCTGTCTCAGTTAAGAAGAGCTGGGGGAGGCATTTACTAGACATGAGTCTGCAGCACATCTGCAGATTCTGATCTCCCTACAAGACGGTCTGTTCCATCCTATGGCAGACACACCCTAAGAGTCATTCCCTTATATAATAGTGCCTTGAGTGGGGGCAAAACCTGTAAATATGTTGGGATAGTCACTCTCCTGACTAGCATACCCCACATTCAAGCTGTCAAGAAATCCCGTCAGCTCTGTCTTCAGTTTCTATCTAAAACCAACCACTTCTCACCAGCTCCACTGCCACCACCCTGCTCTAAGCTAACATCCTCTTTATCTTGGATATTTTCCCTGCCTCTATCCCTGTGCTCTATAATCTACTGTCAGCTCAGCACCCAAAATAATCTTGTTACAAATTAGGTCAGAGCACTCTTCTGTTAAAAATCCTGCTATAGCTCTCCTTTTCTGTCAGAGTACCAGGTCTTACGTGATCTGACATTGTTGCCTTTGTGACCTCAGGTCCTGTCCTTCCCCCTCTCTCACTCTGCAACAGATGCGATGATTTCCTCACTGACTATCTTAGAGCCTTTGAGCTGACGTTCCCTCACATGTCCACATGGCTAACTCCTGAAATGTATTTGGGTGTTTGCTCAAATGTCATCTTTCAAAAAAGGCCAACACCAACAACCTTACATAAAATTTCACTTTTCCCCCCTCCCTTAATACCCCAATTCCTGTTACCTTGATCTATTTTTTTTTGCCATAGCACCTATAATCTTATAACTATATAATTTACTAATTTTACTACATGTTTTCTTCTGCTCAAATAAGCTTCATGAAGGCAACTGTATTTGTCTGTTTTCTTTCACCAATGTATCCTCACATTTATCTGTCTAGTCTCTGACACACAATAGGTGCTCAATAGATACTTGTTGAATTAATTAATTAATTTAGCAATAAATAAGTGGCAAAGGAAAAAAGGTAAAGGATGTGAGATTTAACATGGTACATTTTCATATAGTTAAGTGTTAGAAAAAAGTATAACTTTTTATAAATCAGTAAATTTGACTAAAATATATATACTTCCCCAACCACAGAAAGACTTAATAACACTATGTCTTTCTTTTAAATAAGAAGAAACAAATTCAAACTTTAGATAATAATGAATTCCTAATAAAGAATTAAAATTAGCAAATTAATTTTTAAATATAAGACAATAAAAGCTCTAGTCTTTTACTTTTACTCATGTGGCGTTCTTTTATATAAGCATTATAAGAAATTCATTCCTATCCCATTCTCATTCTTACTGTGTACATTAGTTCTTCCTGATTGTGATCATGTGCGCTTAAGTGGCGCTTTCCATTTACCGGACTACTCTGGACTACTCATATAAATGATCCTAACAATAACACTAAAAGGGAGATAATGCAAGCTTACAGGTGAAGAAATAGGTTTGGGAAGGATAACTTTCCTAAGTCACACAAGAAGTAAAGTCAAAATCTGAGATTTGAGCTCAGATTTATATTTATCTTATACTTAATATCATTCTTCTTCCTTCACAAAACATTTCAGTTAAGAACGTGGACACTGAGCCAGTCAGACTATACTCAAATCCCAGACCTAACCTTCAGTTTATCATATTATTTCTCTGTGCTTCAATTTACTCATCTGTTAAGTGGAGATAATAACAGTACATTCTCATACAACTGTTTTGATGATAAAATGAGTTAATGAGCACATACACACTCAATAACATTATCTATTACCATTATCATTATTATTATAATTATTACCTCAAGGAGGTAATAACAAGTAACTGTTCTTTTCAGAGCCCCTTTAATGTCTGCTCACTTTATATTTTCCTTCTTAGACCTTCTCAGTCATTACTGTCCAGTGCCCTAAAGAATGAGAAATATTCCAAAATTCTTACTGCTTTTATCAAATGTACAGAATTTCAGGGACTTCTTTCAGGACTCTTCTGACTTCTAAGACATAGTGTCCATTTATATAAATTATCATACAAATAGAAGGGCTTTACATTAAAGAAATATAAAAGTAATTTCTCTGGTTTTAATTCCACTTGATTTTCTATAAATTTACTTGGACAGAATTAAAAAATAACTACTAAAACGTCTTATATAGTAAATTGGAGTATTTTCATATATCATCTGAAGTCTTTTATGTTACTTTTTTAAAAAGAATGTTTTCTAGATTCAGCTCAAGCTAAAATTTTTCAGAGCTCCTGCCAGTTCTTTGAGGATCAAATAGAAATTAATCAATATAGTCCTTACAGTCTCATGAAGAATGTAAACCTCTGATACTGAGATTTAAGAGAGTGAAGATCTATTTCAATTATAAACAATGACTAACAGAAATCAGTTCCAAAGAATGTCATAAAATTTTCTCTATAAAATAATTTCCATTATAAAATTTGAAATACATTCCCACAGGAGGGAAAAAAAATATCCTCAATGTAAAACTTCTGGCAAATACAGAGGTAAGATCTGCAAAATCAAAACCAAAAAAAATTGTCATCTTTGCTTTGATATACCAACAGGCAATTCATTTTTCCTTTTGAATACTGTATATATAATTTCCCAGAATTTTTTTTTCATTTTCATCCTCCCAGTTTCCTCATTCAACAAATATTCACTGAGTGTGTACTATGGACCAAGTACTATTTAGGTAAGATGATTACAATTACATCCTTGCCCTCTGGTAGACTGGCAGAAATATGTCATTTCTCCAACAGAATACACTACACTCCAAATTAAAAATATATCAACTTAAACACTTCAGACAATAGAAAATGAATTAAATTTCCACTTGATTAATTTAGTACTTTAAAAACCTGCACATCGAGTTCACATAAAAAAAAGGTCTGTGCTATTTCAATTACATTCTTAGAATCTGCATCTGAGGAAAGTTGTTCCTTTTTAGTGGAAAAAGGTTTTCAATATTCACTTTGGATATTTATTATATAAAACTGGAGTCCAGAGGGTAGGTTGGTAGAGCCATTATATATGCTGAAATTTTCATGTTATTATCCACACATTCATTTATACATTCATGCACAATAATAAATGAGTGCATTTAATTTAAAACCTTGGGTTAAATAGACCTAAACAATAGGTTAACAGCGCCACCTAGTGGCCTCATAAAAAATTGGATGCTTGTTTCCATTGAGTTTTTACATAAACATAAGCTTATCTTTTCACAGATACAGATGTGAATATTTAGAGTACTAGAGTAAATGTCTGACATCACGAAACATTATTATAAAGTATATTACAGAGGAAAATAAAAAAAGAATGTTAAGTTAGTTATCATTAAATTTTCAACTTATTTTAGTATGTCCAGTATAAAAGCATTAAATATTTTACAAATATTATTTATAGACAGTATAAAACAGTAACAGCTTGGTGTGGAGGAAATACATACTCATGCTAATTTTTAATTTAAATGAATTTAAATTCATTACAAGTACTGAAGTGGGCCCCTAATGTGGCCCAGGAATCCTACTACACTTCCTAGTCTATTCACACTAGCCCCTAACTACACTTTCCCCTCTCTCCTGAAATATCCACACTTCCTCCCCCAGCTGCACTTTCATTTGATGACCTTGCTTTCTATTATTCTGAGAAAAAGGGGGGGGGGTTAATGGAAAAGACATTCAAAAGTTCATACCACATGACTCACTTACCAGTATATTTACCCAGACACTCCTGTTTTAGTGGATGAACTGCTTGAACCACCATTTAGGCTAACTCCTACTTTGTGCACACAATCCCACCTCCTCAACCAAGTAATTCACCAACTCTCTCCTACATAATCAATTTCCTTCATTTCTACCAGAATTTTCCCAACAGAATACAAACATGCTTCACATGTTGCCATGCTTAAAAAATAATCCACACTTCATCCCACAGCCCTCTGAGGTACTGCCCCGTTTTTCTTCCCCTTTATAATACCTCAAATGAGTTATCCAAATCCATTGCCACCGATGCTTCTCCTTCCATTTCCTCTGAAACAGTTCTAAACAAAGTCCCAAATGACCTCCACACTGCAAATACAATAGTCATTTCTCAACAACCATCTTACCTGTACCATGAACAGTTCATCTCGCCCTCTTATTTGAAAACCTTTCTTCTTGACTTTCCGGACACTGCACTCCACTGGCTTTCATCCTTGCCTCACTTCTCAACCTCCCTGGCTGGTTCCTGATATTTTTCTTGGTAGATGTTGACAGGCCCAAGTACTGGGTCTTATTTTCAATCTATACTTTGTCTCTTGGCATTAGAATCCAATCTCATGGCTTTAAGTGCCACTGTGACAGCTCCCATATTTGTCTTTCCAGCCCAGACCTCTCCCCAGAACGCCATACTTACACAACCAACTCCCTACTTAACAGCTCTACTTGGATGTCTAAAAGACATCTCAAACTTAATAGGTACAAAGTTATGTTCTTGAGTACACCTCCCCACAAACCTCCTACTCCCACAGTCATCTCCATCTCAGCAAATAATCAAAAAATCGTGGAGCCATTTTCCTCACACCCTATTTCCCTTTCTCTTACATCCTGTATCTAATCTGTCACCAAATACTGTCAGCTGTACCATAAAAATATACCCAGAATTGAATCATTTATTTTCTCCACTGGTACCACTAAGCCAACACCATTCTCTCATCTGTATTATTGCACTAGCTTAAATAATCTACCTGCTCCAATCCTATTCCCATCACTATTCTCTCTTCTCAGTAGGC